TAGATAGATAGATAGATAGATAGATAGATAGATAGATAGATAGATAGTTTGAATTGAATTGAATTGAATTGAATTGAATTTCAGAACCCTGTCAGCGACTCTTCTGAACATTATCTTGCTTCCCAGGACTTAAGAAACATTTCTGTTTTCTTTGTCTATATAACAACTTGCTTGTTTCCTTCAAGGCTGATTCTCCCTGATTCTCTACAATCTGCAATTCATCTTTTTCACATTGGATGCGTTACATTTTGATATTTGCAGTTAGAAAACTTTCATATTTTCTTTTAATAAAGCTTGATTTCTGTTTTATCTTCCAAAGTGGTGGAAGTAAGCACTCCACTTGCAATGTTCTGGCACTGTTGAAATTAGTTTACTTTTTTTCCCAATTTGGTCTTCTAATTGTCAGAAGGGTTGCCCAGTTTGAAAACCTTCACTCTCATACACTTGAGAGTTAGAGTATAGATAGTAAGTAAGATGGTCCCTAGAAGACACTTGGTAGCAGCAGAAACTACCAAGCTGCTGCCTCAAAGTAGTAGGCAGAAGCACCAAACAGGCTTTGGGGAGAGAAGATTTGAGACTTCAGCCATCTACCATTTGGGCCTCAGCAATTTGTTATAGGTAGTCCTCGACTTGCGACCACAATTCAACCCAACATTTCTTTTGCTGGTTAAGTGAATTTTGCCCCTTTTTACAACCTTTCATGCCACAGTTAAATGAATCATTGCAGGAATTAATAACCTGGTTGTTAAGTGAATCTGGCTTCTCCATTAAATTTGCTTGTCAGAAGGTCACAAAAGGGGGATCACATGACCCCAGGTCATAAATACGAGTCAGTTGCCAAGCATCTTGAATTGTGATCGCATGGCCATGGGGATGCTACAATGATCTGTAGTGTGAAAAATAGTCATAACTCACATTTTTCAATGCTGTCACTTTGTATAGTCACTAAAAATGAACTGTTGTAAGCTGAGGATTACCTGTGCAGCACTCTGTAAAAAAATCTAGCCCTCCAAAGTTGGATTGATTTTTCTAGTTGGGAAAGGGGGTAATAAAAGATCAAACTAACCTCTATTTACATGCTCACAACATTCCCTCAAACTAAAAATATATTTTTTTAAAAAAAGTGGGGGGGAGGGGTGACAAATTTGATTTGATCCTATCTTCCATAATGATGTCACATTATTATTACCATGCTCTCTTGTGATTCTTGGAAAAGTCAAAAGCTCTTACTGTGAGTCAAAAGCTCTTACTCCAAAGAGACAAAAATGGCTCATTCAGTAACTTTCTTTAATCTTGCTTTAAGCTACATTGATTGATATTTCAAGGAATTCCTTGGTATCCATATCATCTGTTTACAATATGGGCCTTTTTAAAGTACCAGGTGCAAGAACACATGTATTACATTGGATCACCTAATTCAACTTCCAGTTTCCATGAAATCAGGCAAATGCATATTAGAAATGGAAAAACAAGACTATGAAGGCAACTATTCTTCTCTAGTACTTAACCTTCTAACATAGAGAACAGAAAAGATTAAAGGGTTTAATATTTGTTTCATTTATTTTATATCATCATGTGAAATTAAATTATGGAACTTTTATGCACACCTATGCATGTAATATGGAAATATTATACACTGCTCAAAAAAATAAAGGGAACACTTAAACAACACAATGTAACTCCAAGTCAATCACACTTCTGTGAAATCAAACTGTCCATTTAGGTAACAACACTGATTGACAATCAATTTCACATGCTATTGTGCAAATGGAATAGACAACAGGTGGAAAGCATAGGCAGTTAGCAAGACATCCCCAATAAAGGAGTGGTTCTGCAAATGGTAACCACAGACCATTTCTCAGTTCCTGTGCTTTCTGGCTGATGGTTTGGTAACTTTTGAATGCTGGCGGTGTTTTTACTCCAGTGATAGCATGAGACGGAGTCTACAACCCACATAAGTGGCTCAGGTAGTGCAGCTCATCCAGGATGGCACATTAATGCGAGCTATGGCAAGCAGGTTTGCTGTGTCTGTCAGCGTAGTGTCCAGAGCATGGAGGTGCTACCAGGAGATAGGCCAGTACATCAGGAGACATGGAGGAGGCTGCAGGAAGGCAACAACCCAGCATCAGGACTGCTACCTCCTCCTTTGTGCAAGGAGGGACAGGAGGAGCACTGCCAGAGCCCTGCAAAATGACCTCCAGCAGGCCCCAAATGTGCATGTGGCTGTTCAAACAGTCAGAAACAGACTCCATGAGGGTGGTATGAGGGCCCGATGTCCACAGGTGGGAGTTGTGCTTACAGCCCAACACCGTGCAGGACGTTTGGCATTTGCCAGAGAACACCAAGATTGGCAAATTCACCACTGGCACCCTGTGCTCTTCACAGATGAAAGCAGGTTCACACTGAGCACATGTGACAGATGTGACAGGGCCTGGAGACGCCGTGGAGAACATTCTGCTGCCTGCAACATCCTCCAGCATGACCGGTTTGGCAGTGGGGGGTGGGGTGGGGTGGCATTTCTTTAGGTGGCCACACAGCCCTCCATGTGCTCGCCAGAGGTAGCCTGACTGCCATTAGGTACCGAGATGAAATCCTCAGACCACTTGTGAGAACATATGCTGGTGCGGTTGGCCCTGGGTTCCTCCTAATGCTAGACCTCATATGGCTGGAGTGTGTCAGCAGTTCCTGCAAGACGAAGGCATTGATTCTATGGACTGGCCCGCCCGTTCCCCAGACCTGAATCCAATTGAGCACATCTGGGACATCATGTCTTGCTCCATCCACCAACACCACATTGCATCACAGACTGTCCAGGAGTTGGGGGATGCTTTAGTCCAGGTGTGGGAGGAGATCCCTCAGGAGACCATCCGCCACCTCATCACGAGCATGCCCAGGCGTTGTAGGGAGTTCATACAGGCACGTGGAGGCCACACACACTACTGAGCCTCATTTTGACTTGTTTTAAGGACATTACATCAAAGTTGGATCAGCCTGTAGTGTTTTTTTCCACTTTAATTTTGAGTGTAACTCCAAATCCAGACCTCCATGGGTTGCTGAATTTGATTTCCATTGATAATTTTTGTGTGATTTTGTTGTCAGCACATTCAACTGTGTAATGAACAAAGTATTTAATAAGAATATTTCATTCATTCAGATCTAGGATGTCTTATTTTTGTGTTCCCTTTATTTTTTTTGAGCAGCGTAGAATTATATCTTGTACATTTTAGTTATAATTTTCCCCCAGTTGTTCTTGACTATAAGAAAAGCACTCAAATATAAGCATATTAGGATATATTGGAGTTCCTGATTTGAGAAAAGTATATAGGAATGTGTAAAATCAACTTTTTTCTTTATTTTCCTCAATTCTTGATGACTATAAGAAATGCAATCAAGTACCAACATATTAAGATACACTAGAGTTCCTGATTTGTGATATATTAGGCTATGTATGTATCCATGTATGCATGTATGTATGTATGTATGATTAAAGAAAACCAATCCTATTTGTTGCAATCAGCTGCAAGAATTATATACTTTGATCTGTGAGTTTTTTGTTTTATTAACTAACACCAATAATTAATATACTCTTCCATTTAGTCAATCCATTGATACATAGTCCACTGCTTGATTTGGACAGTGAAGTTCGCCCATCTTCACTTGGCCATCTCAGTCGGAGTGCCTCATTGAAAAGAGGCAGTAGTACTCAGTCCAGTCGAGATGACAGTAAGTCCAGTTGTGATCATATTACAGTTTTGTGTGTTGGATTTCCTTTCCATTCTGCAAATCATGGAAGAATAATTTGCCTTGCCTTGATAATTCATTTCATAACTTTGGTCGCAACCCAATTTGGTCGTGACCCAAACTTAATTTTGGAAATTTGGCGCTTACCCCCCCCAAAATGGAATTTTTTGGTTAGAACCCAATTTGGTTGTGGTCAAAACTGTTTGGGACTTGAGGTTTTACTGTGTAATTCATTGGGTAAACTTTGAATTACTAAGTTGAATGTCTGTTCTCATTATCTCATTATGTAATCTTAATTTGGCCTAGGATAGATAGCTGTATTTAAGTATATTGACATCAGATTTTAAATGAGTAGCTAATTGGATTAATTTATTTTGAATCTCAAATGTCAGTCAATTAAACTCTTACTATGAGTGCTTCTGTGATGCTTACATTTGCTAAGTGAAGCAGTGTGTTGCCAAGTCTTATTCAACTTTATTTAGCATATTTATTTCTTTAGCATTTATGAATTACCACTCTTGATGTCAATCACAAGTATAATTCCTCTTTAACAATTTTCCAGTAATGAATTTGTATCGTGTATTGTACCTTTTTCAGATTGGCGATTTAAAACTCCTCAGCAAGTAGCATTTGTCGAAAAGTTAACTAAACTTGTAGTAAGCCAGCTTCCCAACTTCTGGAAACTTTGGATTTCTTATGTGAATGGAAGCTTATTTAGTGAGGTATGAGTATTTACATTGGGTACTTAGACAAAATGCAGTTTATGGGGAATATAAAATAGTGTTTAGGTTATTCAAACATTCTTTTGCTTAAATATCAAGTGTGATTTAATCTCTTAATCTCTGTAATGTCTTCATAAACGACCAACTGGCCAGAAAAGTGGGGGGGGGGATCATTCTTTGCCTTCTTATGAACCTGTTTGTTGCAGTAGCTGAATTTAGAGTAAAAGTGGGGGTATTTCTCAGATTCAAACTTCTATAACATTCACTAGGTGCCCATAATCTAATCAGCATCTCTTCACCTAACATTGAATTGGGAATTACAGGGAGATTGAGATATGAGAAGGAAAGTAGAATATAAATATATTATTGTTCCTTTCTAGTGAGGGTCTTCAAACTTGACAGCTTTAAGACTTGTGGACTTCAACTCCCAGAATCCCTCTTCCAGTCTTGTTAGCTCAGGAATTCTGGGAGTTGAAGTCCACAAGTCTTGGTAAATTTGAAGACTTTTGCTTTATAGATTGCTTCTGCTATTCCTTCTGCATCAAAAATGGTACTGTTAAGCAGCTTCCAGGGTTCAACACTCTTAAGTTGTTAAGAGTTAGTACTAGCTACTACTATTGCTCGCCTTCTCACCCTGTGTAATGGGGCCCTCCCTTATTACTAATCTGCCAGCATTTATACAATCACCTGAATAATGACCACTGCTCTTCCCAGCCATTTCTATTAAGTGTTAAGAGTTGAATGATAGTTGCACAGCAGCAAATACAAATTAACTGCTTTTTCTACTATGCTTCTGTCTCATTGGTGGACACTTGGGGATATGGAAATTAGAAGATGACTGCTTTTTATCGCCAATTCTTTTATATCCAGGCTTAAGTTCAATATTCAAGCTTGGAAGTAGTGCAAACATATATAAATGCTGCATCCATTTTGGCCAGCTGTTTCTCATGTTTGTGTTACTTTAAAACAGGGGTGTCCAATCTTGGCAATTTTAAGACTTGTGGACTTCAACTCCCAGAGTTCCTCAGCCAGCAAATGGGAGTTGAAGTCCACAAGTCTTAAAGTTGCCAAGGTTGGACACCCCTGCTTTAAAAGTAAGAAGCCAGTTGAACACAGACATAACGGTTCTCATAAAAGTTGTGTTCAAAACCCACATAGGATATAATTTAGTCATGAAAGTAATGAGCAATCATGGAAAAAAAATAGTAATAAAGAAGCTGAATGACTTAGTCTCACTAGTTACAAAGATTACATGCATATTTTTTTAAAAATCAGTTAAGGATTGCCATAGTTTTGCTAGGTTTAGAAAGTTAGTAACTGAAGTGAAGAGACTTGTTTATATATGTGGTACATGTGCAAGATGTAACCGTTGGGCTTACCTCACAAATTTCTACAGGAAGGGGTTAACATATTCAACAAAATTAAAGTGGGAAGTGGGGAAATATTTTGGTGAATATATTTATAGTTTTTGTGGATTCTGTAGATCTAAAAGGAAATCGAGATCATCTAATCTAATGCCATATTTTTTAAAAAACAAGAACTTCAATTAACCAGTCCCTTGATTCTCCCTTGATTCCCTTAATTAATGACCCCGGGGTCTAGCTTTTGTAACACAATCAGGAATTCACCAAACTAGAGAATTTTTAGATATTCAAAATGTATAGACAGGGATTCCTTTGCTCAGCTAAACATTTCTAAATTTAAGAGGCTCTTCTTTGGTTCATTCTTAATAGGCAGACTTCATTTAGTTCTTTGGAAGGCTGAAATGATGGTGGTAGTGTATATTAAAACAGTATTTTAATAAACTTTGAATTTATTGAGTGTACTTGAATATGGTATCGCAAGCTCATTTTTAGTAGTGTATAGTAGGAAAACTGTTTTGGTACTAAAAAGGTTAAAATATCAGTTAAAATATTTTTATTTCTGCTAATGCTCTCTGTTAATTTATTAAAACATGCTAGAACTTTAATTTAATCCAGTTTTAAAGATTCTTTTCCACTTGTTGCAATATCCTTACAGTAATTAGACCTTTCTGTATTTACTAGAATTGAATACATAGAATAGGTCATGTGTTCCTGATAATACTAATGTAGTAAGATGGGCATCTCTTTTTCTTTTATAAGACCGCTGAAAAATCTGGCCAAATGGAAAGATCAAAGAAGAATGCCAGGCAGAGGCAAAATGATTTCAAGGTAAAGGAACAGGCACCCACTTATTAGATGGTTTTGGAAATCAGAAGTGATTTTAAATATTTTTAAACCAGGAGTGAGCCTTGTGCATTAACATTTTAACTGTATTTGAATACAATGGCCCTGTAGGGCTTAACCTCAGAGGATGTGGACAAGCCTGGGGGGAATTGATGAAGCCAGGATCCAAGACCCAGCAGAACAAATGAAAAAAAACCTGTCCCTTGCTGTTTGGATACTTGCAATCTAGTTTCCAATCAGGACTTCCCCAGACACCTTCTATATTCACTGAGTGATGACAGCTGGTAAAGATTTAGTAGGCTAAAAAGTGCAGAAACATTGAGAGTATAGAGCAGGGCTGTCAAACTCCTGGCTCACGGGTCGGATGTGTCACGTGCTGTCCACGCCCACACCCAGTTTAGTGAAGGGGGGAAAGTCCCGATATGTCACATGATGCCACCATGATGATGTGAGTTTGACATCCCTGGTATAGACTGAAGGCTGGTTGTAATGATAATCTATTTAGCAAACCCTGCTGTTCCCAGATACACAGGGAATCTGTATTGAGCTTTATAGCATAGGCCTGAAACCTGCAGTACCATTCTGGTTAATGGGACAAAACACAACGATGGATGTGTCTTCATGTAATGTGCTCCTGTAGAGCCCTTCTCTTGTTCCCTAGACCTAATTTGTACTTTGGTCTCATTGGTTCCTGGAACCCTATTATGTATGAGTATTTTGGGGTTAACTTTTGCTGATACAAATCCTATCTCTGTTTCACTTCCTGGCTGCTGATTAGAATGAAAACTTAGCAAGAATAATCTCCCAGCAAAAAACTCTTCTGTGGTAATAGGACATTTAATCAGATTGACTAATATTAGATTGGCTAATTAAAAAAAAAAACTACCTTCCATGCATTCAGTTATTCAAATTGCTACCTTCGTCCAAGTCCTGATAGAACTTAATGAACTGTTTTATCAAAGAGAATGTTCCTTTGTTTTAATATACAATGGTTTGTGTACAACTATCATTGGCTCAATATGATGTCTTTCTTTTTCTGTCTTAGATGATGATTCAGCAAGTGATGCAATCACAGGTCAAACTGATACGTGGTGCTCTGCTTCCATTCAGCCTTGAAGAAAATGAACTAAAAGAATATGGTGGCTGGGACATGAAACCTGAGCTTTCTAGTCAGTGGTTACCCCATGTCATTCAAACTGTTAGGTTAGTTTTATCTTAAATCAATTATCAGTTTTGGTTTCTTTCAGCAAGTCCCATCTATTCTGAACCAGTTTTGAATATTCTGTATGACCCAAATAATTTGGAGTGTATCTAACTATAGATCTAATTGAGACAAAGGACTCACAAATAGATGATGATCACAGAATTGGAAAAAGACATTTAGGCAATTGTGTCCAATCTCCAGCTCAATGCTGGAATCAAAATTAAATCTTCTCACAAACCTCCTCTTGAATACATCCATTGAAGATTGACCACTGTCAACTTTAGATTCCCGTACAGTCAAGTATTCCGGCATTTCCTTCCAAAGTTCTCACTATTCTTTATGCTTGAGACAAGGAAGTCTCAAAACAACAGAGTTTAAAAATTGCAGACTGTCAACATCTATTCAAGACTAAATGGTAAAGGTGTCCAACCCAAAAATATGATAAAAATTATGAGAATTTGGGAACTACTTCCCAAGTATGGTCCACCCTGCTCTCAGCAAAAGTTGGCTTTTAGTGCTGTAATGCAGTTATGGCAGAAAGCAAAAGTTTGTGCACTCAAAACATTAGGGTTTTCACTGCTTAATTACTTGAAACTAAATCGTAATATGCACTCATAGGAGGAAAAGGTATGAATATTGAGAGTGAAATTACTGGCACCATTTTAGCCTGCTGACAAGGTAATGATACTATACTGTTTATCTATACATGGGGAGAGCTGTGTCATAAAGAAAGTGGCCATTTTCAGGCCTAGATTTCACTTAACACTGCTGTTGTGCTTTTACTTGTATCCTATTTTTTTGAGTTACAATTGTATTAAATATCATTGGGACTTTTCCTAGGCATAATGGCATTGCTGAAAGAAAGGGCTCCACTGGAGAAAGTACTTAGATGGTTTTTTGTTTTCCTATTCACACACATATTACACATCCCATCTGAAGATACTTTGTGACATCTGAATCACATAATAAACAAGTGGGACTCATTATAAATTACTTTCTTTTCTTTGGCTTTCCAGGCTTAGCTATGAATCTCTTACTGCACTTGAAATACCAAACGATATGCTTCAAATCATCCAGGATCTCATTTTTGACCTGAGAGTCCGTTGCATAATGATTACATTGCAACATACAGCTGAAGGTTGTAATTGTTGTTGTTTTGAAAATTTCTTATCAGTGATGATCTCTTACTGGCTTTTTTTTTAATTATCATCTGATTTTATTTTCACATACAGATAGTCCTTGCTTACTGATCACATTTGGGACCATCATCTTCCTCACTAAATGTAATGTGGGTTGTAAAATGAAACGTAGTGTGACCTTACAATGTCAGTCCCAGTTGCAGTTGTTAAGTGAATCACCATGGTTATTAAGTGCAGAGTCATGTGACTGCAGCCTGCAACTTCCTGCCAACTTGCCGGTTGACTTTGCTTGTTGGAAGCCAGCTGTGATAGTTGCAAAGGGTGATTCCCGAACGCTACATCTCTTATAATTGCATACCAATTGCCAAGCACATGAATTGTGATCATATTACTGTGGGCAGACTGCAGCTGCTCCCAAGTTTCAGGATTGGTTTTAAATCTCATTTGGCACCATTGTAACTTTGAAAAGCCACTGAATTAGTAGTCAACAAGCAAGAACTACCTTTACCTCTGAATTTATCTTACTGATAGTTCTGTTTTATAGTTTTTAATGAAAGAATATGTAGCACATGGAAATGGTTCATTTCAATAATTGTTTTGCCTCTTACAAACATTTCATTTGATGAAAAGAAGGACTGGGGTGACATGATAGCAGTGTTCCAATATCTCAGGGGCTGCCACAAAGAAGAGGGAATCAAGCTATTCTCCAAAGCACCTGAGGGTAGGACAAGAAGCAGTGAGTGGAAACTAATCAAGGAGAGAAGCAACTAAGAACTAAGGAGGAATTTCCTGACAGTTAGAACAATTAATCAGTGGATCAACTTGGCTCCAGAAGTTATAAATACTCCAACACTGGAAGTTTTAAAAAGAGATTGGATAACCATTTGTCTGAAGTGGTGTAGAGTTTCCTGCCTAAGCAGGGGTTCAACTAGAAGACCTCCAAGGTCCCTTCCAACTCAGTTATTCTATTCTATTTTCAAGTACAATGAACAAAGTACATTATTATTATTTGATTTTTATTCTGCCTTTTTATATATAACTCAAAGTGATGAACATAACTAGGATATTATAGCAATTAATGAATCTTTCCAATATAGATTGAGTTTTCTTGCTTTGCTTACAGTAAGCTTAATGTATAAAAACTGTTGCCATTATTTTTTAATATAACATTGACAACATTCTTAAGTGACAAATCATTTCAGTTCATAGCGTAGGTTTATGCTATGCTGAAGATAACAGTTTTGACATTGCTTTTTTACAGATGTGAAAAAATTGGCTGAGAAGGAAGATTGGATTGTTGATAATGAAAGCTTGACCAGTTTGGTGGGTAAATTACCATTTTTTCCAAATATTGGTATTATATCGTATAATGTTAAATTTGAGTTAGCATGTCTGAAAATTGAATATGGAAAAAAATCAAGTGTCATCTATTTAAAAAGACCAATCTAATGGCAGTACTAGAAGCTGTAGCCTTAGAGGCACCAGATCTGAAGAAACTGGAGGACTTCACAGGAATGAAGAGCTATACTGAGACTGAGAAAAGCTGGAGTCAAATCCCTATTCACCTGTATAGGCTATTTTTTTTCTCATGATTAACCATAATTTTTAACCTAAATCACAGAATTGTTAAAGGGAATAGAAAAGTATGTATTCTCACTGAATTTGTAGAATATATTTTATAATAGGATTGCAATTAATGAGCACTTTCTATAAAAAATGTAATCTCCTTTAAATACATTGGTTCTGCTGGATGAAGAATTCTGAAAAATAAAGGGCACCAAATTGGAAAAAGTTTGTTAGATTATTTTAGGGACCTCAATGACATTATATTATTAGATTTACGCACAGTTTTAGATATACTATTGTGTACTTGAACACTCTAATAAGTAGTAGACAAACTTGAGTTCTTCAACCTTAAATGGACAAATACTTGAAAGTATAATTGATTTAAAATGATAAAGTGATTTTATAAGTCATTTAAAAAATTATAAGTAATAAGTAATTTTATAAGTAACCTACAGTTTCCTCTTTCTCCTTTTAGCCATCACAGTTTGAACAATGTGTTATACATTCCATCCAGTCACTTAAAGGAGTTTTGGACTGTAAACCTGGGGAGACTAGCGTAAGTAATTTAATACATCTGCTTTATTCCATTTAATAATATAATGAACATAGATATCATTTGAATTTCTTTGCCATTAAAATAATGAATTCGTTTCCTACGAATTTCCAAATAAATGGAAGTGAGCATCAGTGCTATACAACCATCTCTTGTTTAGTGACTACCACAGTTAGCAATCATTCAAAAATACAGTGATAAATGAACTCATTTATGACCCAATTTTGTGTACATGACAACAACACACACCTCAGTGAGAGTAATGCTGGCATAACTGTGTGAAAGGACTTTATCAAAATAAAGAGACAGCAACTAGTGATTTTCACAGTGCTCTCAGTCACATGTTCCCTTGGCAAGCATTTTGCTTTAACAACCTGGTCATTGGAGTGGAACTTGGTTGCTAAATGAGAAGTGAGTGTCATTATTAGTGATATGAGAGTAGTAGCTCCAATATTAATTGCAATAAAAAGATTAGGTGTCTTGGGTATACTATATATCAAGATAGAATAATTCATAAAAATAATATCTGAATTTTTAATTTTAAAAAAATTGATGATAAAATTCTTGCTTGAGTTCAGAATCAGAATGACTGATAATAGCCCTTTGATATAATAATGATTCACCTAAGTGCTGTGCTTAGGATTACTTGCTTTCTATTAAGAAAAAATGCACAAACTAGAAGTGATAGCATTTAGTGTTTAGCATCATCAGTTTGCTTTCTGATGAATAATTGTTTTATGACTGATAATTCAACTTAGAGCAGCATTTTTGTACAAAAGTCCATAATACATTCTGCAGATTTCCAGCTGATTTTTACTTTATTATAAGATTCATTCCCATTTAAAAATATGAATGTTTATGCATTATTTCAAGATTACATTAACCCTTCTGTATACTTAATTTGACCCTTCAGTTGTCAGTTGCACAGTTACTATAAGCAATAGAAATTCCTCTTCTTTCAGATGTCGGTCTTCGTGCTTAAATCATTAATTTCATTAATAGCTAAATCATGTAAAGTGTGAGTTATTTTTAAAGAAAAAATAACCAAATACTAGGACAGCACTGCATTAGGCAAAACTCATAGATCACAAAAATATTCAAGCTTTCAGATATTCTCAGAAATGCAGTAGCGAACTAAAAGGATGTAGTTTATATGATTTATGCTACAAAAATAACTTTGTGTGTGCACGGTATACATGTATATATTTATAGAGAAAGAGATACTAATCAACACTCAATCCATGAAAATTGTCCGTGATTTAATCAGAATGTAAATAATTTCATAAAATCAGGGAGTTATGTTCATTAAATTTGCTAGATCAGTATAACATAATCTCCATTGTTAACCATTTCAAATGCAAAAAGCAGAATTTTAAGGTACATTTTGTAGGTGAAACTCTGCTCATATAATGTTAAATAATTAAACATTCAGTAAACATTTACCTTTTTTGCAAAGTAGAATTATTAAGATGATCCGTTCTTCAAAATTAGTATTTGATTCCAAAACTATTTCAAAATGAGAAATCACACTCAAATAAAATGAGCTAACTGTTGCAGAAAATAGATCAAGCCACAGTAGCAATTACAGTATACAATCAAAGCACTCAGATTCCTATATGTTGTCTTTTACTACATCTTGAAGAGAAAACTAGCTTTTGGCATCCTTAATTAATTTATTTTGGAAGAGAACTAACATACTGTGCATACGTATTTTCATTGATTATCTACACATCTATGTACTTTGCATCCAATAATCAATGCCTTGTAAAACATAAGATCAGACTCCTTCTGCATCTGTGTAGCAAAATATTTGAAAGATGTCATAAGAAATTAAATTAGCTTCTGGTAATTGCTACTTTTAGTCCCTATTTAGAGAGTGCATTGTGTAGCTGCAGATTGTTAGTTGAAAGCAAGACAAATGCACAGGAAATGCTTGGCTTTTTGATATGAAGCCATTTCACTCACTTGTTCCAATAATTGTTTTTCTTTAGATTTTTCAGCAGACAAAAATACAGGAAGATGTGTGCCATCTGAGCATTAATATCATGCAGGTAATGTATGACTCAAGGATCTAAATTAATAGGGTCTTCCATCCTTCCAAGGTTGATAAAATGAGGACCCAGATTGTTGGGGGCTGTAAAGCACTGTGAAGAGGTATAAAAGTCTAAGTGCTATGACTATTGCTAATAGGTTTGTTCAGTTACATGTGCTTGAGAAGTTACTGTTTATAAATATCCATTTTTTTGGCAACTAGTGAAGTTAATACTGAACTTTAGTATTAACAAATTAGTACTGATCAGAATAACTGAGGAGTTAATTTGGAGTAACTCAAAATATCAACCCTCCTCTTTGGTTTAAAGAAGCTCCAGGTCAAATTTTTCCTCAGCTCTTTGTCAACATGCACTCTGCTGTTTCTGTACTTCTTCCATGAATGAAACTTTTAACTGTAGATAACGATACAGTTATCTAGAACTGTAGAAACAATACAGTTACCTAGAACCAACTACTGAAACGAGGAAAGTTAATTAGGAGCATTTAGATTTTTGATTTTTTTTAATACATGAAGTTGCCAAACAGCTGAGAACAGATCCAAGGTGATGGTTTATTTTTTGTTCACTATGTAAATAGCGTCTAGCTGATCTTGGCAGGCCTAGACAAAAAAAAACAATAGCAAAGTAATTCTGTTTTTTGCCAAATAGAGTACATGGATGAGTCAGCAAAAAAGAGCGGAGTGTGGTAGTACCTCTACTCCGTAGAGGTGAAAAAGTTGCCAAATACTACTTAAATTCCTTATCTTGGTTAGCAATACTTGTAATAAATGATGGTATCAGATATATTGGTTTTAATTTTTTTGCAGGTATTCATAGATTGCCTGGAGCAACTGAGTACAAAACCTGACAGTGATATAGATACTACCCAGTAAGTGAAATAATTTGGTGATGAGGTTTTTTTTGACAGTAATTAATTTTACAATTTGGCAAACTTCCAGTTTTCAGTCATATTTCACCTTAAAATTATTATTAGGAACACTTTATTCATAGATCACCAATTTTAGAGATTCTACAAACAATTTGTGTCATTTATTTCACACAGTTATAAACAATTTAACAACTTTCACATTGAATCAAACTGACCAAAACATGTTTAGTATATGATGCACACAATCTATCTTGTTACAGCTTGTGGTTCTTGTTTCCAAAAAGTTGTCTTGTTACAGCTTGTGGTTCTTGTTTCCAAAAAGTTCCAAAAAGTTAATTCTTTAAAGAAGGCTTGACAAATCATAAACTGTAATTTTCATTTTTATTATATAACTATGTATTTAAATTCTCTGTCCAACTCCAGTGAACTCATGTTCTTCAATAGGGGTTCTGTGCAAAGGAAAAATAACCCTACATTAACTTCAGGCATCTTTTTTAAAAAAGTAAAAACTTTTTAGCATGGAAGATAAGAGCTTCAGTCTATATATTTAACTGTTGTCATTTTTTTAATGAATCCATGTCAGTTAAACTCACTAGGGTTATTAAGAAACAAATATAGATTTATAAGGCAGGTTTATCCTAATAACAAGATGGGTTAATCACTGACTACTTCCCTTAGTCTTCCAGGTGACATCTCATCTTCAGATTTATTTGGAAGCATCCATGAAGAGTTAAGTTTATCTGTAGTAAGTATTATTGCTCTTCATTAAACCAAAAATTAAGAAAAATTATCTATACAAGCAATATCTTGTAATTCATTTAGAAGTATGTTCTATTGTATATTGTACTAATTTTATTTCTTTACAATATGGAAATATTACTAGCAGAGCATGTTTTGCAAACTAATATAATAGAAATTCCCATTTGCAGTTAATTAGTTCTGCTATTTTCAAAAGTGGAAGATAGTAAAAATAATTCATTCGTTAAGATTAGCTAGCTAGATAAAAGATACTTTGCCAGGTGAACAAATACTGCTACCTTCTTTCCCTCTCCAATTGTGATTATCTTCTGTCTACTTTGCTTCTTCTAAGCAACATATTTGAAAATGAAAATAAACCACGCTTAAAAGTAGGAGAAAGCTGCAAAAAATCAAAATGCTTTCTGCAATGGAAAATCTGGAAGACCAAGAAAAATCTCTGCTAAAACTGTCACACAACTAGTCAGATCTGCAAAACAGAAGGCATGAATCACTGGAAACAACCTGCTGAAAAGTTTAGCTGACATTAGAGTAATTATCTCTAGGTCCATAGTAAAGCATTACATATACAACCAAATCTAACCTTTTCTCTGAAATCATCACAAAATAAAATATCGAAACTATGGCTTCCCCCTCAGAAAAAAAAACATTAAGCCTGAAACATTTGGGAAATACACTTCTTTGGACTAATGAAACAAAAATTGAACTGTTCAACCATGGCCACAGCCACACAAAAATTTGAGGGTGAGGAGGAATGTGAAGGAGGGTGTGAAGCATTTGAAGAAAAGACTTCAGTAGAATAGCACTAGAATAGTCCTGTCTTTTGAAGCTTTTCAATGTCCAGGAAAACAAGAAAAATTTGTGAAGCTGGAAAGAAGAATAGGTTGTAAACATCAACTTGTACATGATAGTATTCAGTATTCGATGAAGAAACCAAAGTTGAAAGGTTAGATATTTCAGTGAGACAATAGTCCAAAGCATGCGTTAAAATTAATTATGAAGTACTTACAGGAAACAAAAATGATTGTTTTGAAATGGCTTTCGAATTCCCTATGTTTGAATATTGTTGAAAATCTATGGGAATTTATACAGTATGCAGTGCATACAAAGAGTGCCAAGTATATTTCTGAGTTAGAAGAGTTATGCAAGAAAGGAGGGGGGGGTGGGAATTGCAAAATAAATATAAAAAAAACAGCATCCAACTTTTAGTTGGAAACAGGAAACATTAGGAAGCTATCAGTTCTTTAAAAAGATGTTATAAAGTACTGACTGAAAGATGTCCAGATTGCATTGCCATACTCACTGTTTTCTTCTTTTGATTGGTAAGCAGGTGTGCATTCAAATTTGATGTTTCAAATTTCAAGACACATTTGATAAACGATTCCTGTTGTGTTCCTATATATGAAGAATGATGCACCTTAAGTAACTGGTGTCTTTTGAATAGTTTTTTTACATCAATTCAGTGATGTTGCATACTCTTGTGAATATTTTACATGTCAAAGGTTCTGTTTTTTTCTGGACATATAATAAAATTAATAAAGATGTTAAATGTCCTGTTTAAAAACTATTTAAACTTTTAACTGGTTAGCATTGCCTTTTCTTGTACCATTAGGGCAAACTGCTTGGTATGTGCATTTTCTTCTTAAAGAACTTCCCTTCATTGGATCCTTTTTTGATTTAGGAACGAAGGCTTTTAATTGTCCTCAGTAATTGCTGCTATTTGGAACGTCACACATTCCTTAATCTGGCTGAAAACTTTGAGAAGCATGGTTTCCAAGGAGTGGAAAAAATTATTCAAGTAAGTATTTTCTGACTACAGGTGAGCAACATGGTGGCCTAGAGGTGAAGATGCTAACCTCCCACTCAGAAAGTTGAGAGTTCAATCCCAGGCAGTGGCAGATGTTTCTCTATCAGGGCGCAAAGAAAAAAAATATCTACTGTGAACTCCACATAGGCGTCAGAAAGGGCATCTGGCCAGTATATGCTCAGTTCAGCTCAGTCGCCCTGAAAAAAAGGGATCAGAGGATCGTAAAAAAAAAAACTGACTACAGATATTCCAATGAAGTAAATTAATACGATTAGGATAACTTACAAAAAATGAAGCCATTTTAGAACATTCTCATTTTTTAAATTGTCATATAGGTGGTCCTCAACTTATGACCAGAGTTGGGACCAAAATTTCTGTTGCTAAGCAAGGCAATTGTCATGCCCGATTTTACCATCTTTTTGTCATTGTTGTTAAGTGAATCACTGCAATTGTTAAGTGAATCAAACAGTTGTTAAGCAAATCTGACATCCTCCGTTGATTTTGCTTATCAGAAGTCAGCTGGAAAGGTTGCAGATGGCATTCACATGGCCCCTAAGACACTGAAACCATAGCCAATACAGGCTGGTTGCCAAGCAGACAAAAATTGAACATGTGACTAGGGGGATGCCAGGACTAGTCATAAGTCATAAGTTGAGGACTACCTGTAATGACTTTGTTTACTTTAATTATATATTTGTGATTTATGTGTTTTCATAGAAAAGCAGGATTTACAAATTGAAAAATGAATCAAGAAATAAATTGATCCCAACTGCTGAAACTTATCATCCACCTATTTTCAAAATACATTAGTTAAGAATGGAAAATCAAAAATTATGAAGTACAATATATTCACAGTTTGGTATCCTCCACATTAATCACATTTAAGTCTGAAGTTTAACCTAGCCTGGGTATATACAGGCTTCAATACAGGGAACCTCAAGCAAGACTATGTATTATGACGTTTTTTTTTTCTTTGAATAGCAGTAGCACTTAGACTTATATTACCGCTTCATAGTGCTTTATGGCCCGCTCTAAGCGGTTTACAGAGTCAGCATATTGCCCCCACCTATCTGGGTCCTCATTTTACCGACTTCAGAAGGATGGAAAGCTGAGTCAAACCTTGAGCCAGTGAGATTTGAACTGCTGGCAACTGGCGGTCAGCAGAAGTAGCTTGCAGTACTCCTTGCACACCCTATTGTCCACTGTATGTCAGTGTCAGAGGTATGAATACTGTTATCCATCTCACTTCTGGAAGAAAAACATACATGGCAGGGCTGTGAATGCTTCAAAAAAAGAACTTGAGCAAACAGCATTTATTCACTAGGCAGCCATATATTTTTTTTCAAGCTTTCTCACAAATTTACAGTGGTGCCTTGATAGATTACTTCAAAATCCATCATTCTTGATGCATTTTGGTATGAGGATGTTGTCTCAGTATTCAGTCTGTTTTTAGTATTTGATGTGCTGCTGTAGGAAGAAGGGGACGGTTGTATGGACGGACAGGAAGTGGGGGAATGGACAGGAAGTCAGCCATACTGGCAATGTTGCTGCAAAAGGGTGTGTGTATGGCCACGGAGGGTGAACAGGAAGTCAAGTGCGCTGGGAAAGTCACTGAAATGACTTGTTCCTTGTTCAGGAACAAGGACAGACAGAAAGGTCTTCCCAGCCAAAACAAAGGATTTGTTTGGGACTCATCTTTTCTAATGCCTATTGCAACTCCCAGAATGCCAAGTACCAAGGTATCACGGTACTTTCAGAGTTGAATTAATGATGCTGCTGCTTTAATATTTTGATTCATTGAGAAAAGCTAGATCATTTTACTTAAGCATATATCAGTTCGCGAACATTTCCCTTATTGGATGCCTCTGTCTGTCAACCTGGAATTTAATATTTCCCATTGTGAAGGAATGTGATGCCTGACTTTGCCAGTGAGGAAGGAATGAGTGAACAGTTAAGGGAGTGACTTATTTAAAATGCTTTATGTCACTTTAGTCAATCAAATTTAAGCGATGTAAGGCTATGACAATTGCTGTAACAATTGCTACACGATGCACCTTGCTTTCTGCTCTGCTGGGTATTCTTACATTGGAAAACATTGTCTCTTCCCTGTTGAAAGTTTAAAAAACAGTTTTTCTTGGGTATCATTTTTGTAGAAGGGAATTACAGGCCCAAAACCACAGTAACAATAAAGAAACGGATAAAAACCTTTACCGTGTTACTTGCTTTTCCTGTATACTAATATAATTAGATGCCTTTTTTTCATTGAACCAGATGGAATTTGTGGGGAAATTGTCCAATATTCTGTTCTTGTAACAAGTAACTTTGGTTTATATACAGCCAATATGTTTTATATTGATTGACAGAAAAATGCAATTAACCTAACTAGTACACTTGCAAGATTAAAGGATGTGACATGTAAACTCTTTCTATTAATATTATTAATGTCATGGTTATGTCTCTATTTTAGGTTAGTATGGATTCATTAAAAGAATTAGATCAGCGGCTGTTTGAAATATACATTGAGCTAAAGACTGATCCCATAGTAGGTTCATTGGAACCTGGAATTTATGCTGGTTACTTTGATTGGAAAGATTGTCTTCCTCCAACAGGTAAATCTTAGTAGAATTTTTGGAATGAATAATATGGGTAAGTATGTTTTAACAGTTTCAAATATTCCCACATCCCTGAAATCTGTATGGCATTCCTGTTACAGTACTCATTACTTGAGACCTCATAGTTCAGTGTCTGGACTGACTCATAAGAATCCTGTGCTGATTCATTTTTACATATAAGGATTCACGATACTGCTGTTGGCTGAGTGAACTAGGCATGCAACTGTTTCTGCACACATAAACCGCTTCAGTCAGTTCTGCAACTTTAGGAGTAGAAAGTTATTTAAGATAGGGGGAGGCAGAAATGAGCCAAGGAACCGGAGATCAATAGATTTCCTGATGATTTAAAGTAAATTAGCAAGAATCTCCCAACTCCCAGTTGTTTAAAAAACAGCAAAATTAGATCGTATCTCATGTAGATGCTCAGCTTCCCCAGGCTATGATAAAAACGATGGGCCAGTCGGCTAATTGAGTGACATTTCTGTTTTGAGTGGTACTTCTGAGGGACATTGACAGACTTAATCTGGATATGAGTAGAGGCCTTGCATGATCAGGAATTCTAATAATTGGTAGTCATTGACTTGTGATTATAATAGAGCTGACCCATTGCAATCATAACTTGTGATGGTTATAAAGCAAGTCATCATGTAACCCACCTTTTTTGCAGTAATCATTAAGCAAATCACCATGGTCTTAAGCAAATGCTGCCATTGTTCAATGAACCCTTTTTCGCTATGGTACATTTTTACCGAAAACCAAAAGTAAATGCCACTATTCAACAAAAACAACATAAATCACAGTCACGTGCATGGGACTGTGCAAATGGCCGTAAATGCCAGATCACATGACCACAGAGCGGGGGGAGGGGCCACCATTGGAACTTTGGAACTAGGTATCTTTTGTGGGGTCATTGTAACTTCAAACAATCAATCACTCTGTGGAGCTAGGCTTGTATGTTGCTGTTGTGGTTTGCCAGCAGCAGATGTGGATGACTGAGGTCTCGGAGAGCGAGGACTCGGGTGAGGGGCCTGCGTGTGATGCAAGGATGTGGCCAGGACTATCAGAAAGTGGAATGCTGCCTTCAGAGTTTGTGGAGACTGGCAACAGTGATGCAGAGGACCCTGAGGAGCCTGTGCCCAGTGCATGTGTGTGCAGGGCTGCTCAAAGGAAAGAGTAGCTACAGCAGCATGGGTGACTCAGGAGTAAGACTGCAAGGTAATGGCCCCTCCCCCAAGAGATAAAAGCCAGCCTGAGAGACCAGGATTCTTTGCAGGAAGCAAAGAAGTTCTTGCCCTTCAAGCCTTGTGGACGTTCGGACTATCCTGGTTTGTGTTTAGAGAATTTTTGTTTTGAGTATTTCTTGGCAATTTAATCTAGTGTTCTTGGCAGCCTTGCACAACCTTGGCAAGGCTCATTCTTATCAGAGACAATTAGTTTTAATAGCCTTTTAACTGTGAATGAACGGAATTCTCAGAACAGCATTAAAAGGTTTTGCTTTTACCTCTGTTTGGTGTTTGTTTCCTTGGAACAAGGTTTGGGTCAGAACCGTTGCATAGTATTTTTTATTAATTTTTAAATAAACATTATTTTAAACCTTCCTTCATTCCTCAGCTTCCAACCATGGTTTTGATACCTACCCTGTACTCTTCCCAAAAGTTCAGGATTTTTATTTTCACAGTGAAAATTTTGATATGTCTTGTTAGAATTTCTGGGCTGTGGTTGCTCACATTGGAGTTTGAATTTGTATACACAAGCTGGCTCAATGTATGGATAATGGACTTCAGGAGGTAATTAGTTTTGTCACATAAGGTATCCCCATATTATATCTATTTTCACTTTATGGATCTTTAGTTTTTAAAAAGTAGAATACCTTCTTTTAGAAGGCAAACCAGAACTCTGCTTTCCCACGTTACACCTAAAAATAAGATTATTAGCTATGTTAGAATGAGGCAAAACAAATTGTGTACGGGTCAGGTATGCAATGGTTGATTCCGAAGCAAAGCACAGCAGGATGATTTGGCTGTATGTACAGTATTACATTATATTCCTAATGTAAAGATTATGGCAAGAAGTACTTCAAAATGTTGTAACATTTAGCTGAGATTAGAACTTTTCATTGAAATTCTTCATAATGTTCAAATCACTAACTGTTAACAGGTTAAAAAATATTGTTTTCCAATTCTCTACTTCATTTTTAAGCTTATTAGATAAGTCTGATAATTTTTAGCTATATTTAGCTCATACCAGAAAAAAAAAATACAGCAAATATTTTATATTTCTTTCTATAGTTCTTTCAATATTCAAGCTGATGAGTTCATTTGGGTGATAGTTCTTTGATAGGAATGGAGGAATTTATGAATGAACAGGAACATTCATAATAATGTCTAAGAGACAACACGAGTAAATTATCTTGTGTTTACAACGGTAAGATAAAGTTAAAAACTCCTTCAGGATGGCCTCAGCTACATTGACATCTCCATGTTGTTTATCCTGCAACAATACGGAAAGGATTTGCCAATATCTTTTTCTGGGTGTTTTTAATTTCCCAGTCTAGCCTTCGTTTCTGGGATTTCCTGATGATCTTTCCAGCCAAAATCTGATCCTATTTTTTTTCAAGATTGGTTAATATCAGCTAAAAATTGCCTCTGAATTCAGATACAAATTTATCCATTGTTCCTGGCATTTCACTGATTGTTTATTTCTCTTGGACTTGCTGCAAATGTTCTCATCTAAACTAAAAGCTTTTCTTCCCCCCAAAATATAATCTTTGACCACCATTCTTGAATAAGTTTAAATTGACCTCCACAGAAGTATGCACATTTTCCTGCATTTTATATAATCTAGAAAATAGATAGGAGATATTATTGCTACTTGATTGCAAACAGTAAATTATTTCACAATTAAACTAAAGCAGCAGATTCTCACATTTATTACTTTGGCCCTCATTTAGCAACTACCTAAGTACCCATTCACAAACATGACAGTAATAGATGGTAATAAAAAACATTTTCTGACCAATGATCTCATATTGCTTATGATAATAAAAGCCTTTGATGTGAAACTGATTAAGTCTGGTCAGTTTCAGGCAGCTGGAAAGGGCCAGAATTCTAATCAGCTAATTGAATTCACACAGCTGGATTTTTTAAGAAAGTGTGTCACTGCTGAAAAAAAAAACAGTTCAGGAAGCAATTGATTACACTGGTCTTATAAGGAGAAAGCCTTGGAAATGAAAGTAGCTTAATTTTATCAGGTTTGGGTCACTAATAAAGGAAAATTAAGTCCTGAGAATTAATTGGCTCCAGTTTCCAAGATACAGTTTCAGGTTTGCACCGAAATAATTCAAAATTACGAGGGGGTTGTACGATTATGCTCCATAATTTTTCTGCAAAATGTGATATAGCAATGAGAATGGTGCCATACCAATCGTTATAAATATATCTGTTTATTGATATAGATAGCATCTTTCTGTTCATTTCTTGGTTTTTTCCTGTAACATTTTCATTCTTTTTGCACGAAAAACTGACAGGCTCTAACATAAGATTAACTGACAAGTTTCAATCTTTATTCGGTATCTAAAATGCGCTTTTTTGGCTTTTCTCTTGTGAAACTGCAGTAGGATCATCCCTGGGAAGTTTCCAGCAGTAATCGGCAAGCATGGACAGACTCCATTTCCCTTGGAATTTTTTTCTCCATGCCTGCGATATCCTGGTGGAATCTCTTCCCCAGATTCATCACTCACTGCCCCACATTTCAGAAGGAAATAGTCTGAATGTGAGTGTAAGAAGTGAATTTTCAGTGACATGTTTGCACCAAGTGCTTTTTAAGATCCAAGCAAATTTTCACGTGTTTTTCGTAGTCATCCGCCCTGCTATTCTAAAAGTGAAGATAAATTGATACACTTCCATGTGCTACCATTTTCATTGTTCTACCATGCTTTGTCGAGAAGTTATGAGGCATTATGATCATTAGACACCTGCCTCTCTTGTAGGCAAATATACTCGCCTGTGTATACATATTTATTGTGAAATATCTTGAAAACCTTAGCCAAGGTTTCACCTGTTTTCCAATTCATCTAATCAAAATATGTAAAATTAACACATTTTATCTCAGAGGTTGATAATTTCCCAAAATTTGTAGACCAGTGTTGTTCAAGCAACTTTCTGCCCTATAAGTGGGTATAAAGGGGGAGAAAATGAGTTAGGCACAGGTACAGCAGAACTTTATCTGATGAGATGACATGTTCACTTAGTGCCCATTTTGCTTAACAGCTGAGTTGTTGTAACCAATTGCAGTCACTTAACGAGGACTACCTGTATGGTCCAGTGCTTAAAAAGCCTCTTTGTCATCTAATTTGATTAAGTATTTTTTAAAATCCCATGATTACAAACGGAAACACTGACCCACTCCAATCAAGTGGTTCGATTATTTTCCCTGTTGTTTGGGGGTTTATTACATGTAAACTACTACGTTGCTCTGTAGAGAAAGATGACAGCACAGAATGGCCTGATTGTCTCTCTGACTCATAATTATTTATGGGGAGGGGGTATATATTTGGTCTTAAGTTTTCATGATTTTGTTCATTAAATGAAGATGAGCAGTCCTTTAACTGTTACTTAATAAGCACACAGTCACCTGACTATCTTGTTTTATGATTGGTTTGAAGGAAAAGCAAATAATATGCAGAGAGAGAAGATTAGTTAGCAAATGATCCAGGTATTTATGGCTAGGTTATACAGTATGCTGTCTATATCTTTGTCAAACAATTTGTCATTTTATGGGAAAATTCAAATATATTTTTAAGATAATTGGGCTTCTATTATCTCTATGGCATGCCAGATATATTTGTCAATGTAAACCTTTCTCAAATCAGCGGATTCCCTTTTGCATTTTCCTTAAAAGCTCCAGGGTAATATTCATAAAGTTTGAGTGACAAACAAAATAAATTCATAAACCCTACATATCTTCAAGTCCATTTTTCATTTCAAAATAGCTGTCATTTCATCTCACAAAGATGACGACAGGCCATTATTAGGGCAACCACAGGTTTATGGACATATATCATATTTAAACTGTTTATTGAAGAAATTGGTATAATAATAATAATTTTTAAAAAATCACATTGATGCAAAGCAAAAGTATAAATGAAAATTGCTCAGACTTTTTCTTAGAAGTCTGGGATAACGGAGGAACTGCCTCCAATCTGTATTGAGATTGAGGTCAACCAACAAGTACAGCTTAGTCACCTGATGAAAGCTTGGTCACTTCTTCTTTATAGCCATTACTGGTCCCTCAGTGGACTTTAATTGAGAAAATTGGTCTCACTGTTAGCATAACATTTTCTTCAAGCAAAAATTAATATTTGAATTAATTTTGATTTTATATTTTATTTGTAAACTACACCTGATATTCCAGTAGTCAGCGCTCTACATATGTAATTATATAGAAAAATAGTATTTCTTTCTAACCATTTTATTTTTAACATATAAAGGGGGGAAAACCCTGAGATATAAATAACCTGCTTTCTGAAATATATTTTTGTCAGGCAGGTAGAGCGCGTGCAAAATTTAGGGGTTAAAAACAGGAAATGTTATTATAGGTGGGTTGTCCTTATGAAGACTTTCCAGAACTTGCCTACACAGTTCACGTTTTCTTCTGACAACAATATCGAAGCAAAATTGAACTATCACTTCTTCAGATCCTTCTATGATTAGTTGGTGGAAGGTTTCCAATAAAAGCAGGAAATTACTCACACTGAAGAAAAAGAAATGAGCTTCTTATATTCAGATGATCATCACTTCCAGCAATTGTTTTTTTCTCTGCTTTAAGTAAGCCGTATTTTCTTCATACAAACTAACGCATGTTTGAAGTTTTAAATTTTAAATTGTAATACAAGATTTCCTATACAATTAAGTTTGGATTGTGCAGGCTAATAAAATTTTGTCTCTTTGACAGTATTCTTTAAAGAATAAAATCACTATCTTAAGGACTGGCTTCTTATATTGTAATCAAGGACTTTAAGCATAAATGTATCAAGCACTCTATAAATTAATCTGCTTGCTAACTGATAAATGCCAGTTATTACAAATAACTGCTGTATTTTTTTAAAATTCCGTTGGAGTTTTTCATGATAAAAAAAAAAACTTTGAAGAAGATGTTGATCAGGGCAATGTAAGTGAGATCTGTGCTGCCTTAGATTTGATAAAGGGCTTCCTCTTTCACTTCCCATCGAAACAGCATCCAATTGTAGGGCATTTCACAGAGTTAAATGTGATTTCATTGGAAATAAATGTGGCTTTAATTTCTGTTCCCTCTGACACATGCACTCCACATATTAGCTGCTCAGGTTCTTATAAGCACCAAAAGTCCCTTCAGTCTTGCAATATGGTTCGGGAGGTGCATATTTACTAATACTGGTTTGCAGATTCCTAATTCCGCAGATTTAACAAGTTTTGGCTACATCTTCAGGTTCATGAGGGAGTTCAGCACAGTATAAGTCATTTTATGCCAGTAGACAGCTTGTACAGTTTTCAGTTGTTAATTTTACACTCTTTTTTTTTTTTTTTTGCAATTGCTTAGAAAGGGGTTTTTTGTTCCCAACTAGACAAGATTTGAAAAGATTGCAAGACTTGAAGAGATTACTTTTAAATTTTATTTTTGAAGACATGAATGCATCCTGATTTTACCATCCAAATGTGATTTGAGGGGAGGAAAAGGGCTTAATAAACAGCACAGTGGAATGTTTTAGAACAGGGGTCTCCAACCTTGGCAACTAAGATTTGTGGACTAAGTCCACAATTCTTAAAGTTGCCAAGGTTGGAGACCCCTGTTAGAACATTGCAGAGTGACTCTTCCCAGTTCTTCTACTGGCAGCATGGAAAAAACTGCCCAGATGGAAAGATTAGTATTATTATTTTTAGAACTATTTCTGTTTCATGTACACTTATATCTAAATGGAGGACTCTGCTTTTTATTTCATTTGTTTTTCTGTTTTCAGCACAAATAGATTTATGCTGAAACCACATTATTTGAAACAGACATTTTTCTGGGCAGATACCGACCAGTCACCATTTTCATGTGTTCCTGGATTTCAAATGCTCAAGACCAACTTTGGCTGTCTTGTTCCTCACCATCCATTCAGCAACCTGCCAGGGCATAAACACTAATACCGTTCCTGTAAAGTAGCCTGCAGGGCTGTGCATATCTTTGCAGTAGCCTTTTTAGCAACCGTGGTTTGACACGAGTACTTTCATTGTACCATCCCTTTTCTACTGCATTAACTTTGCTGTACTAAACAAAAATGGCCTCTTGGCACAAGTGTTGCAGAAAACACTTCCCATCAAAACGAAGCAGCTTCATCTACTCCGCTTCAGTGCTTGTGTGAGATTAAACGCTCTTGTCTCCAAGAAGCATTTTGTCTTCTTAAGATGGAGCAGCGCTTCAAGGGAGATTAAATCCTAGATGACCAAGTAGCCACTTTATCTCTCCTTAAAAGGATCTGGTCAAAGGGAACATTTGGTTCTGAGATTTCACTTTCTACAAATTATTTCAGGGTGGCCCCTTCTCCAAATCCCCAATCGACTGGGGTGATTTGACTTTCCTTTTCTCTAGTCACAGGTCTCAGTGGCCTCACATAAATACAACTGAGGATGGACACTTTGGTAGCATATATTTTTAAAAACAAGACCACGAGCAGATATTTTTCTCATGCTGTTACGATTTCATGAATGCATTTATTGTGACCAGTAAATTTTGTCCCCTTGGCTTTCCAAGGATATCAAGATGGCTACTGTTAGAAAAAGAAGTGGGGAGGGTGCAGGAGTGGTTCCTCATCTCCCTCAGCAAAGCAATTGCTATATCCTGCTAGTCTTCATAATTCGTTCTTTTTATCCAGTTGCTCAGTGAGGTGGTAATGTCTGCTTAATGCCAGACAGCATATTCTGCGCGTCCCTGGGGAATTTCCAAGATAAAGTTCTGCCTTTTTTACCAAGTGAGTCAGGAGGTACGTGGGTGGGGACAGTTCTCTTGAATGCCATGACATCATATGGTGCCTATGACTGTCTTAGAGGTTTATGGTTTTTATAAACCATCACTGACCTGTAGCATAGTGGCAAAAATAATGAATAAGTAGAATCCATAGAAGCATGCATTCAGGTACAGTGAGAATATTTCTGTTTGTCACTGGCCTTGAACTGGAAGTTTGCACTCCTGTTTAAAATGCACAGGTGTAACTCTATATCTGTATAGTTCTGTGTATCTTTTTTGAAGGGGCACAGATATCTGCAGATGAATGTGATGATTTTATTTTTCTTGAACTAGACACTGTTTTTGCTGGTCTTTCCTAACAGCAACTCGGTCCCATTTCTCATACCTATCCAATATGATAGAGCTTCACTAATAAATACCAGTAGTCAAATGAAAATTTTCATGTACAGTTTACAATAATTTGCTTTGGACAGACGTTTACACATAATATATTCCTCAGTGTAACTTAGTGTAGCAGATTATCTTCAGAATTTAAGGCTTCATTTAGTTAAATGTTCTTCGCTGTAGTAGGTTGATCATGCAGGACCTAATCACTGATTTAGAAGAATTGTTTTACATGCTTGTTTTCTTAAAAGCTGAGTTATATTAGAGGTTATAGCATTTGGGGTCTTTTCAGTGGCTCTCATGTTTTTGTTTTTATAAAACGGAGAAATTGTCACAAATAGAATATTTGGAGAGTTCTTTGAATATAGTCCAAAATTAACTGTTTTCATTCATTCTCAGTATAGATATTTTAATTGCACAAACTATTTAAATACTACCAAGAGCGCCATCCTATTGAAATCTGTATCTCTTTTATTGGCAGAAATTCATCTCATAAAATAAAGTCACAACCGGTTGTCGCTGCCTTGTAGTTGTGTACTCCATAATTGTGACAATGAAGTCATCAGAATCAAATCTCCCTATTATTGAATATTTATACCCACAAACATACACAAAGTGTTTTAAAGAAGGAAGGGAAAATAATGCCAGACAAGACTAGGAACCTATGGCTAGTAATGTTTGCAATAAGGAAATGTGTCTTTTTTGGTTTTGTTTTCAAAAAGGAAATAAATGTGGTGGTGTGGTTGGAAGAAGCTTTCGCTTTCTGTATGCTGTCATTTTGCATTTTTAATCAAAGAAGCCAGCAGAGTACAAATACATTGAACAACTTTTTATGTATGTCTATGTCCTTTTTTTATTTACAGGTGTCAGAAACTATTTAAAGGAAGCTTTAGTACACATAATTGCTGTACATGCTGAGGTGAGACTTATGCAACTTATCCACAATGAGTGCCAAAAAAGTATAAGTGACCTTTGTTTTCCAGTGCCAAAAATATATTAAAAAATGTTACGCAAAAGGTAATTGGTCTTCAGTTGGTAGTTATGACCCCTTGTTTCATCTTCACCAATACTGCCGCTTTCTTTTAGAACATTTTTTCTCAATCTCAGCAAACTTAAGAATGTGGACTTCAACTCCCAGCATTTCCCAGCCAATGGGAATTCTGAGAGTTAAATCCACACATCTTAAAGCTGCTAGTTTAGAAAACCTATTTTAGAATATAGTAGAGATAAATGAGGGACAAATCTTTTTTGTTGCACATTTCTGCATGTTTAATTGTTTTTTTTTCCTTTTAAAGATTAAGTACGAGAGAAAATAATGGTGTCTGATTTCGTCCATGGGAAACCAATTTTAAAATCCACAGCAGAATAGTGCCTTTAGAAAAACCAATTGAAGGCATTTAAGTATGTGCAAGCTTTAGATTTCTCCAGAACTTTGTTAGGAAAGGGTTTTAAACCATAAGTCTATCTTTTAAAGTTGCTGTCCTGATAGCAACTGTAGGAAAATACACAGAGAGAAAAATAAATGCAGAATTTTACATTGTGTTTCTTTTGAAATCTGCAGGTATTCACTATCTCAAAGGAGCTTGTACCCAGAGTTCTGTCAAGAATTGTTGAAGCAGTTGCCGAAGAACTCAGCAGACTAATGCAGTGTGTTTCATCTTTCAGCAGGAATGGTGCTCTACAGGTAGTCAAGTTACGGGATGTTATTGTTAACAAATACGTATTTCTGCTATCAACGTTGGGCGCTTCCAGACAGACTATTCTTTTTGATGCACTGTTCCTAAAATTGCATGGCTGTAGCTGGTTGAATTCACAATAAGTGTGAGAAAAAAATATCTTTCAGTTAACCCCAAAGGTGCTTTTTCAAGAGGCAACTGGACTTTCTGGTTTTTCTTTGAAGACATTTCGCTTCTCGTCCAAGAAGTTTCTTCAGCTCTGACTGGATGGTGGGCAATGGAAGGATATATATACTCCTTGCAGACAGCTGGTCATTTGCATTCTTTTAGCCAGTCGTTGAGGTCATCTGGGATTTTATCTGTGTCATCAGGGTCACCTGAGTGGTACAAATGGGTGTGGAGCCTTCTTGGAACTGTTGAAAGGACTGTGGTAGATTGGAGATAGATGATATCGTATTCCTCTCCCTCTGTTGAGAGAGCACTTTTCAGTTTTGACATAGATGGCCTTTTTGACCCCTCTTTCAAACCAGCGGTTTTTCTCTGTCCAAAACCGTGGAGTTTACTGTCTTCACCCATGGCCTGGATGACTGAGAATCTCCATAGACATCTTTGAGTTAAGATCTGCATCAGATAGATCTGTAATAATAGAAAGAAAAAAAAACCAGACTGTCCTTAATCTAGGAACAACTCTTATGGTAGTTTATTTCACGCACAAGTCAAAAACCTAAGACAGCTTTTTTCCAAAGAGCACATCCTTTAAAATTGAATGGTTAAACTTTTGGATTTGAGCTTCTTTTCAAAACCCATTATATCAAAGTAAGATGAAATGGGCAATCTATATAGATGCACCTTAAAATCACTCACCTGAAAAGTGAGAAATGTTAGTTTTTCCCCACTGCCATTTTCCCTGGCCTAATTAATAGCCTCTGGGCATTTTAGTCTCAACATTAGGCTAGGGAAGGCTACTATAATGGAGGGGGTGGGGAGGGGAGAGAAAGAAATCTTCCTGCTTCTCTTTAGGCTTCATTCATGCATAATCATATACAAACACAGTTCCCCTCCCTCCCCACAAAAACAAAGTGCAGGTTTTACTCTCTTGAACTTCCTTCCTCTTTGGCAAATGATATATTAAGAACCCATGTCATTTCTGGGTAAAAAAAAAATATTAAGTACAGACATAAGAAACTTTATCTAATATTCAGATTGACTTTAATTGATATCTGAATGTCCAAATCTATCATTGTCCTTAAATTTGTTAAATGAGATAAGAATATAGCAACAAAAAGCTTTTTTTTTTTTTTAGAAATTAAGGCCTCTGATTTGTGTTTGCTGCTACAAAACTATGCCTAAGGATTTATTTAGCAGATCCTAAATATTGTAAAATCAGGTGCTGAAGATGTAACACTGTAATATTTTTGTCCTTCAGGCTCGACTTGAAATTTGTGCCTTGAGACACTCCGTGTCTGTATTCCTCACCTCTGAAAGCAAGTAAGTAAGTGGGGGGGAAAGTGACACCATCAATTAACACTTGTTTTTTTTATAAAACTCATAAAATATGCCCCAAATGAAAAAGCCCTTCATAAAATGCCTTAATGTGAACATGGTTTAATTGAGATTCCCAATACCATGTTTGTGACCCCTGGAACTTCTAATCAGATACAAAAAATTAGTAGAGGTTTCCTGTTAATTTTGAGGAGGAAAACAGAGAGAGTTTATGTAAGCCTTTATGGACCCTTACTATAATTGATAAAAAAAAGTTTAAAAACTTGGACAACACCCCCTCCCCCTCAAAATGGAAGAAAAAAATAAATAAAATCTTGATTTTTACTTATTTAGCTTCTGTACCCTGATCCATTACATTCATGGTCACCACTAAGCTTTAAGTTGAGCCCTTGTAGTCAAAATGAATGTATTTTATCTGTTTCCATTTCAGCTTAAAATCGCATCTGAGTCTGTAATCATCATGCTATTTATTTGATAGTTTTATTTATTTGAGTTTGGTATGGAGTAGACTACATCCCTTCCCTAAGATGTCAGTGGGTGTTCTATAGTTTGCAATGATTTAATTTCCACTCCTAAAATCAGTCTTCCAAGCCTGTTGGATATTGGAAGTGAAGTGCCTATATATACAATAATTTCCCCACAGAAAGTCCAATAGCTTCTCATTATTAGCTTTTCATACAAGAATCTCTTCTCCCCCACCCCCCCACACACATACAGGTTCATCAGGTTTCTCCTAGCACAAGGTAGATTTTCCTAGGCAAATTCAAGCAACTCTTTATCTCACAGCACATTTTTTTTCAATACAAGATGGCTTGGATTTTTTTTTTTTTTTTTGGCCTGGAAATAACCCAAGTCCAACACTAATAATAATGTATTTAATTCAAGGTGGGAACAACCTAATGCACCTGCCTTCTATTTTTCCTGCAACAACAATCCTGCGAAGTGGGTTGGATGTCAGCCTTGGAAGCCATTTTTTTACTTGGAAGCTTCGAGGTTGCCACATTCAGTGCCTAGGAATTTGGGAGGGGGGAGTTCATAGTGGGATAGAAGACTAGTTACAACAACATTCTTTCTCAGAGAGTCAAGGACATGTTGCCCTGCACCTGGAGGGGAGTGACTCGGGGGATGTCTCCAGTTGGGATGAAGATTTGGTTGGGGCCATGTGAATGGACTGATCAGGAGACGGATCTTTGATTTTTTTCTTTTGGGAAGGCAAAACCTAGAACTCTCAGATTCAGGTTTTCCCAGATGTGCCAATAGGACAATTCTAATAAAATGGAACTTTGGGGAATTATTTGTCTCGGAGTTTATTGGTTTGGAGTTGGTTAGCTGGAACGCTGACATTGGACTGAAGAGAAAGTGACTGGCCAAAAGCCAGCTTTCATGCCAAAGAAAGGCCCAAAGTTCACAGTCTCCAAGTTTCTAGACCAGCACCATCCCTGCTACATCAAACTGGCTTTCATGAATGGTTTCATGACCACTGAGTAACAACATACAGTTTGTTTTCTATCTGTCCTCAGGAATGTGTTTTCCTGACTATTATAAAGTCTTATGGAAAATCAGTTGAGCAAAATTTCATGTCTACCTATTACTAGTGGGAGTGCGGGGGTGGTGGAATAGTGTTTGTTATAAATGGATATTCCCTAAGAATGAAAATGCATTAGTGTCACAGAAAAAATACTTGAGCGGGGGTCATAGCCACCATTTAGACAGTTACGGATCTTCCTGAGTAAATGGCATTCCCAAATATATATTCTCCCTATTCTAACCAATTGCTATTATACTGGAGTAGTCCTTAAATTATTGGCTAAGGTTATAGTTTCATCAGTGTGCACAGAAGCTTCCTAGATGAGTTTGAAAGCCTATCACAGATGTTTAGCACAGATTGAACAATGTTCAATAGAAGCAATCCACTTGTTTTCTGTCACCAACAGTGAGGAGAGACCAGTAAGTCACGTAAAAGCAACACCTCTGTAACATAACATCCATTTTCATATTAAAAAGATTGTCTTTTTATTAAAGGATAAGGTTTAGAAATATCCACATAAGGAAGGTAGTTTCAGAAGGCGAGACAAGATTGCAAAGTCAAAATGAAACTGAAAACAGAATGATAAAAGATTTAAATTCTATGGAATAAAATGAAGACATTGTATGTACATACGTGGAGATGTGTCTCTGTGTGTATTTATGCACACTAACTCTGAATGCTCTCCAAAAATCATTCCTGTAAGTGCCTCTTAATTTGTGTTAATTGTAATGATAAATATTTTGTAGGAATTTGTAGGTTGCATGTCAAGATTCAAATGCAAACACCTATAAGGCACACACTTAAATAACATATAGAGACTGGAAATTAATAATTTTGGTCAACTTGTGTAAGGGAAATATCTGTTTAATTTACAGCTCAAGCTTTAAGCAAGCTCTGGAAGCCTTGCCTCAGCTGTCAAGTGGTGCAGATAAAAAGTAAGTTGGTATCCTTTATAATTTAGAAGGTGTATCTCGCAAATATTACAGCGGTTGAAGCATTCATTCCTCTAGGATAAACCTATTTTTGACCCAAGGCATAGCAAATACATTGATGGTGATGGTGTTTCCATCACACCATTTTCCATGCACATAGTACATCATATGGACTTTCATGTGATTTATCATTATAACAATTCTGCAAAGATTACAGATGACTTTTTTAAACAGCAAGACACTGGAGAGGAAGAAGAAATTTGTTTTTAGATTATCAATGTCCAAATAGAACTCCTTATTTAATTCATTACAGTGACCCTGAAATATTCCCTTATTTGTTCATTCCCCCTAAACAGAACAAAACAGAAAATTTTCATCTAAGTATTGGAAGAAGTTGGAATCTGAGTTGCTTCCTTCAATAGTGAGCCTCAAAGAGTTATGGATACATTAAATAATAGATTCCCCCCCAGAATGCAGTTTATCTACTAAAACATACATATGTTCTTGTTGCTTCTGAAAGATTAATTCTGATTACATAGTGGCATTTCTAATAATGAATTCAAAGGATTTAGACCTGTTGCTAGTAATGAAATAGGCTTAAGACTGACTTATGAAATACTGACTATATGTAGATGCTGTATTTGTACTCATTCCTGCAGGGTGGGGTTGAGCAAGTAGAAGTTCACATGCTTGTATCCTTGAGTCACTGGATCTAGCACAGATTATATAGTGGTGGAATTTACTGCAGCTGTTAAATACTGTTCTTTTATTTTTTTTTTCAAAAAGTAAATCAATGACGGCCTAATATATAATTTAACATTTTAATATAATATTAAATTGCCTTCCTTTTTTTAGTTCTTGTATTTTTGTCAGGGGCACTAAAATTTTGGACCATGATTTATGATTATCAAATATTTCCTGAATGCTGGATTTAACCAGTGAAGTAAACAATAAAAGGAAAACAAGACAGTAAACTAAAGGGCAGACAAAACAGTTCAATTTTGATTGTGGCACACAGTTTCTATAGAAAGCAACATTAACTAAGACTCTGAATTTAGGTCACATGACCTATCGGAATTTTCTTAAATTATTTCTGCTCTTTAAACAATATGAACCTCTAAGCTTGCAGCCTCATATATTATGGGTGTCAAACTCGCAGTGTCATATTGCTGTGACATTTTGTGACATTTTTCTCCTTCGGGAAGCTGGGATAGGGGTGGCCCGAGCATGATGGATCCGGCCTGCAGCCCAGGCTGCCAGTTTGACACCCCTGTCATATATACTTAATGTGGATAAATTCTGCAGCATTCAATGTGACTCATTTCGTAGGAAACATCAGGAGTTCCACCTAAAAGTGAAGAGGAGAGCATTTATCTCCCCATATATCAATCTACATGAAATTGTTCTTAAGAATATATCTTTGATTATTAGGAAAAAGCTAAGAATATTTGAATACAAAGATTGTGTTTTGTATTTGCAATTTATTTTGAGCACATGAAAGGCTGTTGAAATCGTTTGTGAATCTTATTCCATCAGGACTAATCTGTGTAAATGCATGTATATTCCTCAGGAAACAAAATAAGAAAGCATAAGGTTACACACCTATAACTAATGCACCTGCCTATATGTAGTCTTATTGATAATAATTCTCACATCTTGGAAAGACAAGCTAAATATTTTAGCAGAAGTGTTTGTAGATTACTCTGGGTTACTGAGATTGCAAGATAGAGAACAGGTTTGTTAGAAAACAGGTTGCATGAAAACCAAAATTAAAAAAATAGAGAGACCATGCAGGGATATTATTAACAGTAACACAGATCCGTTTTACAAATAGTATAAACTCAGCATATCATTTCATGTATCTGATAAAATGCTCTGTAGTTCTCGGGAAGCATGGCTGTAGTAAATTTGCATACTCTTTATGATGCATTGGCTTTGTTATAGATGAACTCAACAACATCTTTGAAAAGTTATTAGTGCAAGACAGATCTATTTCCCCTCCTGCCACCCCCATTCCTGCCCCCACCTTGTGTGGTAGAATTAGTGGCTGACAGGAAGGAAGCCCGATTGGGGAAGTTAAAAGATATTCCAGCGTGGACTCTATAGGTGGGAGGAAGCATATGACATCAAACAGGTCTATATCAGGCTTTCCCAGGAAAAGCAGGCAGTCTGGTGAGATTGTTGTGAGCTGGAGAACCACAAGGAAGCCTCTAAGAGTAGTTCTGGTTGCTTGTGCCTGACAAATTGGCTCCTCGTTGTTCTTGGAATGCACCTAAACTCTTCAAGTCAGTCATTATCTTAATTTTTTTTTTTTACAGATTGCTGGAAGAACTACTGAACATATTCAAGAGCAGCATGCAGTTTCAGCTCACCTGCTTTCAAGCTTCTTCTTCCACAATGGTGAAGACCTAATTCTGAAACTGAATTCTTTTCATGAAAAGGGAACCATAAATGCCATCAGTGTGGTTCTCAAGTAACTGTACTGTTCTTTTCTGGGACCTCATTTTCTTAAATCAAAATTCAGAGTAAAATTATTAATAGATCCATTGCTTCTGGAAATAGCAAACAATCCCATTTTGTTTGGATGAGAATTTATTCTGAAACATTTTAAACAGCAGTATATCTCTGTATGCTTAAAAGCTTGGCAAGCTGGTTGTATTTATTATCCTAATAAATGTTGACAAGTGATGTCACCTGATTCCTTAAATTTTTTAGCATATTTACCAAAATGTTCTAAAATTCTCCATAATGGTAGATGTTTTGGTTCATTAAATGATGGCATGTGTACTTGTATCATCATCTATCATCACACATGGACCTGAAGGCCCATGGATTGCCTGCTGGCCTCTGTGGAATGAATTCTGTATATAATGGTATGTGGGAAAGATCTTGGGAGAGTAGTCCAAGAGACACCGCCAAGGGAATGAACAGATAAGAGACAGCATAGCCCACAACTAGATAGCAGGCAGGGCAAGAAACTCAGAAGAGACCCTCCCTATTTTCTCAAGCTGTAAAGGAGATTGGGGAGGGGGGGGTGTTAAACTTTGAAGCTTGCCAGATTCTGTGAATGCAGTTTTACAGTAAAGTAGAATTAGCTCATCTATTTGTGATTTGTATCAAATTTACCCCACAGGGCCAACAACATGTTGCATTGCAGTGGAACTCTTTATTGATGAATTGATTACGTGATATCAAGTCACTATTGACTCTTAGCAGCCATATAAATAGCTCTCCGGGTTGATCCAGTTGTGCATTGTGAAATTGAGTGTAACTGAGTCCACCCACTTTTCTGCTGATCATCCTCTTCTCTTTCCTTCCACCTTTCCCAGCACTTGCAGACTTTTTCAGATCATGTGAGTTTTCACACAGTGTATCCAAGATATCTTAATTTTAGCCTTGAGTGAGAAATCTGGATTGATTTGTTCTATAATTCATTTATTTGTTTTCTTGGCTGTCCTTAATACTGTCAGAGTTTGACTTCAGCACCAGCATTAAAAAGTGTCAATCCTCTTTATATCCCGACTAAACAATTCATCAGTAAATTACCATTGAAATGGGGCACAAATTGCTTCTGTATATATCCTGAAATATTTCATGCCAGAATATTTTTTGATGTATGTTTGCTATTTCAATCTGGAAGACAGAGTATATATAATATATAAAGAAGCTGTCTCTGTGTGAGACTTTGAAAACATGCATGACATTTGGGAAAGATAACCCAAGCAAACTAAATACATAATTGTCTTTCTACATTCACATAACTGTACTTATATGCAGGTTTACAACTATTAAAACCTCTTTGAGAAGAAAATATTATAAGATTTGTAGATAAACACACGATGTATTCTAAAGAACCTGAAAAAGGATTCCATTTTTACTCAGCTTTCCAAATGTTATGAATCACAATACTAAGGGGGGAAAAATCCAGTCATCAAGGCCATTTCTATCTTTCAAATGGATTAATGTGCATGAAAAACTTATTTCAAGCCAGGCTGCTTATTATTACCTTTACAAAGTAGTAATTCAGGTTTTGAAGTTGCTGTCTCAAAATCGGACTTGAAAGCCCCAACTGTGTGTTCATAAATATCTGCTTCAGTATTTGCTTTACAATTATGTTGTGGTCTTAACAAAGTGAAGTCGGTTACCTTGATAACAACATTGAAAGAAATACAGGTATTTTCATTTGTGAACCAAGTTCAGATTTTGAAACTGTGTGTATTTCTCATCACACTTTCCTTTTTCTCTCATTCCCCAAGTGAAGCTATTCATTATACAGTAATTTCTGAACAAGGATGATTCAGTTATTGTTATTACATATGCCATGTTTTGGCACCTTTTATCAATCCCTGTCATCATCTCCTCATACAACTGCTGAACTCAAATTTTGTGTCCCTGGACAGTGTACAAAAAGACAAAAATAACCATTGCTAATACAAACTAAGCTCATTAAAACATGCAATAAAATGACAAACAGAACTGAAATCTTCCGCAAACCCACATTGGAGATCCAGCTTAACCTGATCAGGTCTCCACCACCTTCCTGGAGGGTTGTAGAGTTGTGACTAACTGTTTATATGTAGGGGAGGAAAAAGACTGTCACAGAGAAGACAGACGTCCTGGGTCCCATAAGATACTGTTTTAATGACGGGATCCAGAGTGTTTACTCTCATTGGAAAGTGTGGGACAGTGTTGTGGCCCGCCAGCGGCCAGTGAGGAGGTTGGGGAGGAACATAGGCCAGTCCTGGAATCTGGGTAAGGCTTTGATGAGTGCTCTGCATCGGCGGAAAAAATGGGGCCAGAGCTGTCTGACAGTTATTAGCTGCCTTCGCAGGTAGAGATCAGTGGGGCAGAAGAACAGCTGGAGCCTGTTCCCAGTATGCACATGCACAAAGCTGCCAGGGGAAGGGAATAGCTAAGGAACAAGGGTCGACTCAGTAAAGCCACAGATGAACAGTGAATGGGAAATAAAGAGAAGCGAAAGGGGAGTGGTGTTTGCAGGATACAATTAGTTCAATTTATTAGGTTGAAGATCTGTTCCCGACTTCTTGCCAAGTATTGTCTGCTATAGAGCGGCGTTTGGAAGATATCAGCCTGGCAGCTCTCCAAGCCTGATAAAGGTCTGTAGTTGTGAAAGTTCTTGAAGGACTGTTGGCCAGGACTTTGCTGGAGAGGAATTCACTTTAACCTAAATAAAAGGGGTTTTATCTGGATGAGAAGTCAGCTTCGTGGTTTGGGAAGCCTAGGTCAGAACAGACAGGCCTATACCCTTACGAGTGAACAATCCTCTAAAAAAACCCTGATCCTATGTTATGTAAGGCTTTTGACGGTGAAATTCCAACTAATTTCTTCAATCCAACAGGGATGGTCTACATAATGCTCTGGAAAAACTATAATAATAATGATGGCATTCTTTGAAAAGAATAATACATGTAAACATCTCAGTTTGCTGCACTAATTGTCTGACCTGAATGTCCTTTTCTTCCTTATAAAGACGAATAGTCCTCAATGACCACAATTAGGATGGGCAACTCTGTCACTAAATGCCATGGTGTTCAACAAGGTCTCACATGACAGCAATATTACACACGACAGCAATGGCTTTTCCATTGACTATGCTTCCTGCGGAAGCCAGTTATGAAATGCACAAATGTCAATCCTAGGACTCTAGGATGCTCCAACAGTTGAAAATGCCCATTGGTTGAAAAGTGGTTGACTCTTGGTCACAGCACCATGGGGACTAATCAGAAAGTTCCATTTTTAGCACTGTCTTAATTTTGAATGGTCGCTAAACAGGGCAAAGATTACTTGACTACATAGACCTAAAAGAAAAAGAAAGCAAACCAAGATCTGTCATCTCCACTTCCTGCGACTGTGGCTTCTGTTACTAAATACAATCAGATTAATAATTGACGTCCACTCTGATGGACATGTGGCAAAGCAATACTGGAGTAGGATTCACATCTTAAGACGGAAGATTCTCAAAGTGAGTATAAAGATAAAACCAGAAACTTTTCTTTGGGGTTTAATGGAAAAAGACTTGGAAAAAAAACATGTTATAAATGTGGACGGCAACAAGATTATTTTATGCACAAAAATGGAAGTATATTTTGATTCCCACAATGAATGGGAATGGCTGCAGCAGTTGATGGAGTTAGCAGAGATGGTTAAACTGACTGCTTTTATTAAAGACACAAACACAACTACTTTCATTTCTACTTGGAAGCCACTACGGGACTTGAGGTGGGAAAAAAAATGAATCTTTCATTTTGGGTTTTACCAAATTACCAGTTTGTTGTTACAGAAATGGCTAGTTTATGTAAAAGTAAAAAACAGAGGTTTCATATTTTTATTCTATTGCACCAAAGGGAGCCAGAAGTCAATGCCTTTTCTTTCTTTTTCCCCTTTTTCCTACACTTTTCCCTTCTCTTTTCCCTCTCCTGTCTTTCCTACTGTCTTCTTTTGTATTTTTGACTCTTATTAATACATAAATAAACTATAAAAACATTAAAATAAATAACGCCCATTGTTTGTGCGCCTATGTATTTCTGCCTGCCTGCAAGCATGTACACACGCATACAGTCACGCTATGCATTCACGGGCACGTTTCTTTTTCACCTTATTTCTCCTTCAGCAAATCCTAGAAAATATAATTGCCTGATCTGTTTCTTCACCAAGGTTGCAACAATTGAGTTAGCATTTGTTTCTAGATAATATCTTAGTTAAAAGGTCAAGAAAATCACTTGGCATTTACCTGACCTTCAAAAGTAAACGACAGTTTTTGAAGGAGGGGTTTCATGCATTTCTTAGAAGAAAAGCTAGTTTGTTGCAGCCCTTAATGATGAGAGAAAAAAACCTAAGGGAAGCTGAATAGGAGGCTGGAGATCTGAGCATTAGATTTGTAGGCTATCTTTTTAATCAAAGTCTTTCTCTTCAATACGGTTTTTACCATACTGTTAAAGAAAACCACAGGGGACTACTTAAAGGGCAGGCCATGAACTGAGTATCAAGTGTCCATATAGTAAGAAATTCAGGAGGGAATGTATCAAGACTAATTGGAGTAGCATGTGTGGCAAATTGTAATTGGGTGGCCACATGACCTGGTTCACAGATAACAGCTCTGCCTTTACAAATGTTTCAGCTGAACGTAGCACCAACCTTACTATTATTTGAGATGTAGAGAGTGATAAGAAAAAACTAGAGGGTGCCATTAGGATGCTGATAGAACAGCTATGGTGAAATAAGATTCAATTCCAAATCTAGTAAACTTCTGAACCATATTATCCCACCATTTTACATAAGCAGTTGGCCCTGAGCTACTGTCTCCTGCCTGAAGACCTGGGCAGTTTGTGTTTGATTTAAAAATTAGGAGCTTGTTGTATATGAAATGGAACAGAGATTTCTGGAAGATTCCATTAGCCCTTTCTATGACTTTGATTCAGTTGTTTTGACACTGGCCTGATATTTTTTTCTAGAAGTTACTCCTCAACTGTAAATTAAATGCAATCACCCATATACAGGATTCTGGACAAAATGGAAGCAGACCACATCCAGAGGAAGGAAGGAAGGAAGGAAGGAAGGAAGGAAGGAAGGAAGGAAGGAAGGAAGGAAGGAAGGAAGGAAGGAAGGAAGGAAGGAAGGAAGGA